AAAAAAAAAAAAAAAGAAAGAAAAGAAAAGAAAGAAAATTTTCAAAATATGTTCCAGGTCCTGACTCCCAGGGCCTTTCGCTGAGTCTCTGAAAGCCCTTGTGGGCTGCTGCACCCCAGGCTCCTGAGTTCTGTTCCACTAGGAGTGTTGTGTTTCCTCCTGGCTCCACAGGGGGCTCCCTTGAGCTTTGTCACCGTCTGGATCTGGCATCCTCTTTGGCAGGACAGGGCCGCTCTTTGTCAGCTCAAGTCAGTGGTTCCGTTCAGGAACTCCACTGTCAGATCCTCACCCTTGGTTTGACTAGAATGTTTTCTTGAGTACATTTTCCCAAAAAGATTCATGCGTACAATATTTCTGTGTGTCTGAAATCAGTTCTTCTGGATCTAGATTTCTGGTGTTGGTTGTGCAAACTTTGCCCCCTGCCTTTGAACACTGAGCACTGTTGGGCTGAGTCTGTTTCCTGCAAGGTGACCTGGTTTTTCTTCTCTGACTTGCTATAACCTGGGATCTTATAGGTTATCCTCTTTATCTTTGGAATTTAGAAAATTTTCTGCATTGTATCAAGGATTGTTTTTGCTTGAAGCTTCCTTGTTTGGCATTCACTGGGCCCTTAGCTTTGAAGACTCAATCATTCTTCAATTCAGGGATCTTTTGTTTTTACTGCATACTTAAATATATCCTGCTGCTTGCTACCAACAATTTGAGGCAGGTGCCTGGAAGAATAGTGATAGAATAGAAATTCAACTGGAAACCTAGAAAATAAATATATCTGTTATAGCCTAGAATAGTAGCTATGTATAAGTTTCAAATTTGACTCTTGAGTTTTTTGGTTGGCAAAGAAACCATTAATATCAGATTGTTCTTTTGTAAGCATTTTACAAGTTAATTATTTTTAATTGGTACAAGTTATACATGCTATTGTGTAAATAAAGAGAAGGTAGAGCAAAAAAAGGAAAGTCCCTTAAAATTTCACCAGACCGTGGTCACTACTGTTGTCAGTGTGCTGTTGATGTGTTCAGACCAAGTGAATATTTGTATGAGTGTGTTTGTGAATCAGAGACAGGCACAGAAAGACACAGAGGATCGATTCCACTGTACATGTTCCAGACAGAGCCTGTTTTTACTTGTCAATGTCCCTCAGTTATTCAGCCTTCACTAAATAGAGGCTGAATAGCATCTCACTGAAAGGGCTTTAATGTTAAGCCCTGCTTCATTAGACAGTCTTTCTGTAGGAAATTTAGTTTCTAAGTTTCTTATTATTACTATTGCTAACATGGTTATGGAAATACAAAGGTATAACAAAAAGAGAAAAAGACCTCGCAGGGGTGTTCAACCTGCGTCCCGTGGGCCACACGCAGATTACTTGAGGACTGTTTTGCTTATATGTGGTGCCAGATATGTCAAAGAGCATGCACGGGCCTTTTCTTTTGCTCATCAGCTTTCATTACTGTCTGTCTATTTTTTTTTTTTTTGAGACAAAGTCTCACCATGTCACCCTTGGAAGAGTGCCATGGCATCACAACTCATAGCAACCTCAAACTCTTGGGTTTAAATGATTCTCTTTTCTCAGACCCCCAAGTAGCTGGGACTATAGGCACCTGTCACAACACCCAGCTATTTTTTTTTGTTGTAGTTATCATTGTTCAGCTGATCTGCACCGGGTTCTAACCTGCCACCCTCAGTGTATGTGGCTGGCACTGTAACCACTGTGCTACGGGTGCCAAGCCTGTGTCTGTGTATTTAATTTGTGGCCCAAGACAACTCTTCTTCCAATGTGCAGCAGAGAAGAAAAGGAGGTGGACACCCCTGGAAGAATTAATCACTGCAGTATAAAGCCTTGAGTATTGTGATTGAAAAGGCAAGGAAGGAATATGAATTCAAAATCCACAGAGGATTTTTTGAAACACTGTTCAGCTGAATTAATATCAGTGAAGTTGAAAGCTGTGAGATACCATTCTCTTCTTATTAAGTTACCAAGGATAGAGAAGTAAACACCCAGTGTCATGCTGCTGTCCTGAGCGACAGGCACTATCTGTAGTGAGGAGTTGAGTGGACAGTCCTTCCAGAGGATGGCCGTCTTTATTAACAGTTTAGGAATTCTTTAGGAAAATAATTTTCTAAGTGTGCAAAGCTAAAAAATACTGTCAAAGAATGTATAACATGAGGAATTACTGGCATAAAGGAAGCTGAATGACTCAGAAGAGCTTTTGTAAGGCTGGTCTCGAACTCACAAACTCAAGCAATCCACCTGCCTCACCCTCTCAGAGTGCTGGGATTACAGGCGTGAGCCACTGCGCCTGGCTCAGCCGTTCTTTCTGACTTGAGTCGTCTTTATACAGACATTTTTGCCTGACTAGCTCTTGTTACTTAGTCCTTAGTCCTCGTCTCTAATTTCAGCTTCTCGTGGCACAGTTTAAAATGCAGCTTATTTGCTCTTATTTCTATGTTTTCTTATTTTCATTCTAATCATTCCCGGTACTTCTGCCACGGTACTTGGCCATTGTCAACAGCCCATGGCAGGATGTAATCCTCGGCCCTTTTCTGTCTTGTTCCCTAGGAGCCCCAGAGTCTTGACCTTTGCACAAGACTTGTGGGCACTGATTATACATGGCCTGAGTAGGGGAGTATTGTCCATCACTGCACTCTGATGGGTGCCAGACCCTGTGTTTCCCAGAGCTCTGCAGGGCCAGTGGTTCTTGTGTGTCCCATGTTTAGCCTCTCTGCAGCTTTCCCCGGTGTGCTGGTGGCAACCTGGCAGGTCAAGCTGAACCAGACACAACCGTGCTCAGAACTGTTCCTGCCCCATGACCTGCACGTTGTTACTAGGTCAGGCCTGGCTTCTGCTGCTGGAAGAACTTTCCTGTGGGTGCTTAGCCCAGCACACAGGTTTTCTCAAGCCACCTCCCCAGATGTGGCCACCATCCTGCTTCCCCCCGTTCCTTCTCCTCTTCTTTTTCTGTTCTTTCCTAAGATTTTATGCCTGCATTTATTAGCCATCTTCTATATTTTGATGTCACTTTTCTTTATTTCTGGCCCAGGAGAGGCTTATACACTTTGTTTATTGTAGGATGGGAGAGCTTGTTTGAAACCACAGTCTCTGAAGAAGAAAATCAAGAAGTCATGAAAAAACTCATAGTTGATGGTGCTTTTGATTTCAAGTTAGGAAAAACCTACATAAATGAGCACAAGTCAGAGAAGCAACAAGGCAAAAAGAAACTCTTCAGGAAAGTATTAGTTACTATCAAGAAGGTCTACATCAAGGAGAGGAGCTTTAAAGGTATTGAACTTGGGAAAAATCTTGGTCTAAAACCATCCCTTATTAGAAAGCCCAGAATTGTTTCTAGAGGAAGGAAACCCCGTTCCCAGCAGTACTCAATTCTCTTTAAACAACTGGGGGTCAACACTGTGCGTAAATGCTACAAGTGTAGTGTCTGTGGAAAGATCTTTCTTCACAGCTCTTCCCTGAGTAAGCATCAGAGGATCCATACAGGAGAGAAGCTCTATAAATGCAGGGAATGTAGGAAAGCGTTCAGCCAAAGCTCCTCCCTCACCCAGCACCTACGCGTCCACACTGGAGAGAAGCCCTACATATGTCATGAGTGTGGGAAAGCCTTCAGTTTCACCACATCTCTCATTGGACACCAGAGAATGCACACTGGAGAGAGACCCTATAAGTGCAAAGAATGTGGAAAAACATTTAAAGGTAGCTCATCCCTTAACAACCACCAGCGAATCCACACCGGAGAAAAGCCGTACAAGTGCAGCGAGTGTGGGCGGGCCTTCAGCCAGTGCTCCTCCCTCATCCAGCACCATCGGATTCATACCGGGGAGAAACCCTACGAGTGCGGTCAGTGTGGAAAGGCCTTTACTTCCATCTCACGGCTGAGCAGACACCACCGGATTCACACTGGAGAGAAGCCTTTTCACTGTAATGAGTGTGGGAAAGTTTTCAGTTACCATTCAGCCCTCATCATCCATCAGAGAATTCACACCGGTGAGAAGCCGTATGCTTGTAAAGAGTGTGGTAAAGCCTTTAGCCAAAGCTCAGCTCTTCTCCAGCATCAGCGGATTCACACTGGAGAGAAACCCTACAAGTGCAATGAATGTGGAAAAGCCTTCTCCTGGGTTTCACGGCTTAATATACATCACAGGATCCACACCGGAGAGAAACCTTATCATTGTAAGGAATGTGGAAAAGCCTTCAGTTCCCACTCAGGAGTTAATACTCATCGAAAAATTCACACTGGAGAGAAACCTTATAAATGTAATGACTGTGAAAAAGCATTCAACCAAAGCTCAGCACTGATTCAGCACCAGAGAATTCACACTGGAGAGAAACCCTATAACTGTAAGGTCTGTGGGAAAGCCTTCCGACAGAGCTCATCCCTCGTGACCCACGTGAGGGTCCACACAGGAGAAAAGCCTTACAAGTGCAGGGCGTGTGGGAAAGCCTTCAGCCAGAGCTCCTCTCTGACCAACCACCAGAGGACTCACAACTGAGAGGCTCAGCATTAGGAACACTCAGGTGGGAACCTCCAACTGAGGTGTGCTCCACAGTGACCATGAAAGAGCTAATCCTGGGGGGAGTGTGAGGAGAGGTGAAGGCAGACGTCATCCACCGACAGAGACTCAGGATGCAGGGTAACTGGAGTATTAGGAAAGCTTCTGGAAGATGCTCACTTGTATTTCCTTAAGTTATTACTGTAAGTGTGTTCGATTGTGGGGGGTGATATAATTTTATTTTATTTCTAGCAATGTGTGGTAACAGCCATCAGCTTTCATGAGCGTCACTGGAAACCCTACTGGTTTATGTGAAAATGCAGCCATAAAATCCAGACTTCAGATAAATCTAGCAATCTATTTTTTTGAAACTGTATTTAAATGTTATGCAAGCCAGTTGTCCTAGGAAGATGTTTTGGAAAAGAGATGTAGGTGGCGACTGTAGCTCAAGCAGCTAAGGCGCCAGTTACATACACTAGAGTTGACAGGTTCGAATCCAGCCTGGGCCTGCCAAACAATAACAACTACAACCAAAAATAGCTAGGCGTTGTGGCAGGAGCCTGTAGTTCCAGCTACTAGGGAGGTGGAGGCAGGAGAATCACTTGAGCCCAGGAGTTAGAAGTTGCTATAAGCTAAGAGGCCACAGCACTCTACCCAGGGTGACAGCTTGAGGCTCTGTCTCAAAAAAAAAAAAAAAAAAGATGTATACAGGTGACCCTTAGCTACCTCACTGTCACTGAAATTTGTTTGTTTGTTTTGTAATCCTAAGGCAGATTCTGTTCTTTGGGTTTGTTTGTTTGTTTGCTTTCTAAGCCATTCACTCCAAAAGAAAGTCCCTCTGTAATTACGCAGTTAACATTGTCTTTGGGGTTCCCTTCCTGAGGTCTTGGTCTAAACTCTGACCCAGATCTGAAGTCACTTTAAGTCATAAAATGCATGGTATTTCATCTGTTTTCCTCATAAAGCAATTACCTTTGCTGTATTGAATCAAGAAGTAAAGGTCATTCAGACATTTACCACTTTTGCAGATTTAATTTGCTCATCAGCCGTTGTTAGCAATTTCACAATGTCGCCACAGAGGGGCTCAGCTCTTGGCTTCTGGGCTGTGCCTGCTTCTGTGATCTCTGTTACCAGTACCAGGAACAATGTGGAACTCAGGTTGTCACCCCAGGGTGAGGTGAGCCACTGGGCCTTCACCCTAAACGTCCCACTTTTCGCCCTCATCAGATGGTGTCATTCCCTCCCCACACTCTGAGGGGCATGAGAAGAATATTCAGGCTCCAAGTTCAGGTGCTTTTTCCTCCAGACAGAGGACTTAACAGTCTTCAGCAGGTTATTTAGCCCATGGCAGCATTTCTAAAATGTGAACCATGATATTAGGAAGCTGGAAACGGTTACCTCACTAGTAAGACTGGGACTCTGGGCTCTGTTGAGGGTGCTGTCCCCCAGGAGACCCATGCACTTGGGGCTGAGATCTGATTTCAGGAAGTGCTAGTTTCCTTTCTCTGCCAAGCAGTTAAAAAATTAAAAACACAGAAATTACAGCTGTAATGTGACATTTGTTTATGTCTTGTCATCTGCCCCAGACCCACTCCCGTCCAAGTGCACACACGTCGTGCAACCAGTGTCTAGCAGGACTCCTGGCTCGGCCCAGCAGACCAACACTGACCAGGGCTGGCCACGTGCCCACCCGTTCCACCCCTCACCCAGGCCTCCCAGCACTAGCCCAGATCTCACTCCCCCCCCAGCAGGACCTGGCCACCAGAGTCCACCCATTTATACCCCACCCACGATGACAAGGTCACTGTGGCAGAGATGGAGAAGGGAGCCTGATAATGCCAATATCAGGACAGCAGATGATTTGGGGGGCCTTAGAACTCAGGGAGGGCCCTGGGGACGTCATTGCCACGTAAACTGGTGAGTACTTGTCCCAGGAATGTGCAAGGCACGCAGCCGCCAAGGTCCACAGGTTCTCACCCAGCTCTGAGGTCCTGTGATTCTGACACTCTCCAGGCTTCTGGGATCTTCTCATGGGGAATTGGAGAGACGGCTGTTGCTTTGTCAAGGGCTGAGGACACCAGGGAGGAGGTGACCTTACCACGGACAGCTGAAGAGTGAAGGGAGCTAGACAAGCAAGGAGGGGAGATAAGCATCACAGGAGAGGGGCAGGCATCAATGACTTCAGGGGAGGGGAGCTGGAGCCCAGCAAGCAAAGGGGCAGTGGCTAGAGAGAGGCCGAGTAAGGGCCTGAGCCGTCAGCGTCTCTGCCCACTTTCTAGTGGTTGAGAGGGTCCTGGGCAGGCCTCAGGGTGGCTACCAGGGAGTGCAGACAGACCAAGCCGGTGTAGCAGCCCCTCTACTGCCAGCCCCGGGGTCCCCCAGCCTCTCGCCTGCACTCAGCCCCTCTGACTGTGAGTTTGGGGAAGGGTTCTGAGCCTGCCCATACTCCCTTTCCAATAGCCCTAGGGAGGTGGGCTCTGGCCACTCACCAGCACCTGCCTAGCTGAGCAGGCAGCTTTGTGTAGCCAGGCTGGATGAGTGGAACTTGGGAACATGGGGAGGGGCCACTTGTCAAAGCCAAGTCCTCTAGCCCCAAACAATCCCCAGAGCCTCTAAGGCTGTGCAGAGTCCCCTGGCTACCCAACAGTGCTTGTCCAAGCCTATCTGGGGAGCTGGGTGGGCCCATGTTAGAGGACATGGCATCACCTTTGCCTGCACAGCAAGGGCAGGGCCCCTAAGGGAGCAGCTGGGGTGTAGGTGGGAGCAGGGAGCTGCCTCCTCACCTCTCCTCCCTCAGGCAGCTCTGCCCTGGGCAGCAAGACACATCTGCGTTCTCTGAGCCTGGAACGGCCTGGGGTGCTCCTGGTTAGCATTCTGGGGACCCAGGGGGGCTCAGCCCACTCCTCCAGCCCTGCAGCTGAATCCAAAGAGCTGTAGGAGGATGCTGCTGCCGCCCAGCCCCCTCTCAGGCTGCCTGTCCTTGGAGTCTCGCCCTGCTGGGCTGCCCAGGTGAGCCTCTGGCTCAGCAATCCCAGTGCCCAGAGGGAAGATTCAACAAGGGTGGGCCAGAGTATTGCTGGGCACATTCCTAAGTCCACCCTTACCAGTAGTAAAACTATTTTGTTCTTACCTATCTGTTGCCTGTATGTTAATTCTCAGTCAGTCCAAACAGTGAGGTGAGGGAAGGTCCTCCCATACTCACCAGCCTGGCTCCAGGACAATACTGTGTCTCCCATGTACTGCCACCCCTCCAGCTGCCTTTGGTGGCTTGGAGTGGCTGTCACAGCTTGGCCACAGTGACTCAGGGAAGTGCCAGGTGGCCCCCAGCCAGGTGACCTGAGATATGGCAAGAGTCTGCCAGACAGCTCTGGGTCTCACTCCCCCTTTCCAGCTGTGTGATTTGAGCAAGTACCTTACCCTTTCTGTGCCTCCATCTTCCCCTGTTGAAGAGTAGTTGCCGAATCCCTGGCAGGGTTGTGATGAGTATCACCAACACCAATCCCAGTGTGGCCTGGTTTGACTGCACACAGCAGAGCAGTCCCAACAGAAGAGACAGGCAAGACAGAAGCTCCTTTCCTTCCTAAGTAATAAATCTGAAGGTGACCAATCCAGGGAGGTGTGGCAGCTCCACCACGTCCTCAGGGCCCAGACACCTGCTGCCTGGCTCCTCATCCTCAGCAGTACGTATGTACATGTGTGCATATGTATGTACATACTGCTGAGGGCTGGAACTTTTTGACTGTTGATAAAAAGGGGAAGACCAGGCCAGTCGGGGAGCAGAGCCATTTGGAATTCTTCTATACCATAAGCTCCCTCTGGCAAATAAAGCCCTTCCTCTTATAAATGGTGTTCGGGTGCTCTTACATACATGTGCACACAGGTACCTACTGCAGTCTCCACAGTCTCCAGCCTCAAAGCCCCTCTGGGCCCAAGGGGGCTGCTGGGGCTCTAGCCCTCCAGACCACAGTGTTGGAGGAAGGTAAGGCCCAACAGAGAGTAAGAGCACCCAAACACCATGTTTATAAGAGGGAGGACTTTATTTGCCAGCGGGAGCTTACAGCATAGTAAGTTCCAACCCACAGGTACCCTTCTCATTGGCCAGTTTGAATCAAGCGGGAGATACTATTCCAACCCCTACAGAACTATAGGATTTCACGTTTACAAATTCCCAAGAGCTGAGTTACCATGGAGAGGACCCTTGGTCTTCTTGTGTCCTTATGGTTTCCTTGAAAAGACCTGTTCTCCCAGACCTCACGCTTCTCTGGTGTCCCTTCTCAACAGGACCAAGGTGAAAAGTGCGAGGGCGCCACAGGGCCCTCCGGGGCCAATTTGGCTCTCTTTTAAGCAGTTTTCCTGGAAGCCTGCTGCAAAATCCCTCCTTTTCACTCATTAGCCAAAAGTACTTTTGGCTCCACTCAGCTGTTCCAGGGGGAAGCTGGAGATGCAGTCTGTTACTCTGGCAGGACTTGGGCCCCACTAGAAGTCTAAGTTCTGTTCCCCAGAGGCCGAGAAGAATGTTGTGCTTGTCCAAGGTGAACCTACAATAAGCAGCCGAGAACCCACACCACAGCTTCAGTGATGTCAGCATGCCCAGAGCAGCTGCCACACAGCCTCCCTCCAAAGTCTGTGTGCTCCCCTCACACCTCCCATGGCTGTACAGCTGGGTGGGGTCCTCACGAGACAAAGAACACATCTAGAGAGAGAGAATTGGTGGGCCGGACCTGACCTGAGCAGCCTGACAGCACAGGCTGGAGCAGCAGGTATCAGTTCCATACATGAAAATCTCCAGGGTTCCTGGAACCCCAAGGGGCACAGGTGGCAGAGGTGGGACCAAGTTGCACCTGGGAGGAAACATAGCCCCTCCGTAAGGAGACCCTGACAGCGTTGGGGGAGGCAGTGGAGCCTGCCTCTCCTCCCTCCGGGAAACAGGCTGGCCACACCCAGCAGAAGACCCTGAACTTGGCTTTCTCCCGAATCCATCCTTTCCCGATGCCAAAGTGGAAGCAGACCCAGAGCAGGGGAACCAGGCTGGAGGTCTTCCTTCTGCCACTTCTACTCCTAGGACCTGCCTCCTGCTCATGCCAGCACCTACAACGTGTCCTGTGGGCGCCACAGCAGTGATGGGGAGGAGAGCCCTGTCCTAACAGTTGTCTTGTCGCTTGGCCATTCAGACCCTCCTGGAATGTCTGCTTAAACATCTAGCTTTTTCAACATTTTATGCTTAAAATTTTGAAGGATATAGAAGTACAGAAAGAATCACTCTATGAATACCCAAGTGCCCTCCACCCAGACTGTGGGTGCTGGTTTAAACTTGCTTTATTCATCCCATCTCTGTCCACTTGCCCACCACTGCACCTGTCCATCCACCCATCTTAACTGAGGGTGTTTCAGAGTAGGTTGTAGACATCAGGGTACTCAGCATCAGATCATCAG